ACACACACACACACACACACACCTCTATCCATAGCTCTCTCTATATACATACACACACACACCTCTCTCTATATATACACACACACACACACACCTCTATCCATAGCTCTCTCTATATATACATACACACACACACACACACACACCTCTATCCATAGCTCTCTCTATATACATACACACACACACCTCTCTCTATATATACACACACACACACACACACACACACACACACACACACACACCTCTATCCATAGCTCTCTCTATATATACATACACACACACACACACACCTCTATCCATAGCTCTCTCTCTATATATACATACATACATACACACACACACACACCTCTATCCATAGCTCTCTCCACACACACACACACACACACACACACACACGTTTCACTGGCTTCTGTAAGGCAATAGACGGGTTTCACTTTCGGCACTTTGCTAAGGGAGGACATATACAGTAAAAGACGGTGACATACCTCTGTCCAATTTTGCAGACGTTTGTTTAGTTCAAATATTCTGTAGTCTGTCTGGTTCCCGTACGGCGTGTGTCTCCTGTAGTAATAATAAAGCTGCTTTAGTACATGAGAACATATTCACTAACAAAATGAAGAAAATACACCACCACCATGAGCACTTTACATGAAATACATTATTATTATTAATAAAGAGGGCCTTGTGTGATTTTATTTTTAACAATAAACACAACCTTGCTTGCTCAGCTTTGTAAAAATGTATAAAAGCCATGACTTTAAATCCCATGCTCTGCCCATGCCATGCTTGCTGCTCAGTGTGACGTAGGAATTAAAAGACTGCATGGTACACCTATTAAGGGAGGTCAGTAATCTTTCTGCTCCCCAGCACTGGCTGTACGTTGAGGTGTGTGTGATCCAGGATACCAAATTGGTAACTGCCATTGCGGATTTATTGGAGGAGTCGTCAACCAGCCATAAATGAGCACAGGTCGGCAATTGGTCCGTGTGGGGAATGCGGGCCGAGCTGCCACGGACCAAGGGCTGGATAAAGCTGGCCATACACTTATAGACCATCTGCAGACTTTCTATGGTCAGATGGAAAAAGCGCAACAGATTCCTCCATCTACTCGAAACTGTGAGGATGGAGGAATCTCCCGCTGGACCAAGCTTCAGTATCTTGCTAGTCGGCCACTCTGGCTCTCAAAATACCTGAACCATCTGATTGGATGCAGGCAATGTTCAGGTATTTTGCAAGCCAGCGGAGCCGACGAGCAAGATACTGAAGCTTGGCCCAGTGGGAGATTCCTCTATCCTCACAGTTTAGCGTAGATGGAGGAATCTGTTGCACTTTGTCCATCTGACCACAGAAAATCTGCAGATAATCTATAGGTGTATGGCCAGCTTCAGGCTCGCAGGCTGTAGAATGCCCAGGTCTGGACCAATAGATTAAAAAAGGCCTCCTAAAGTTGACCATACACTGGGTGAATGTCCCCCAACTCCTGTTGACTTAACTGAAATTTGATCAATGTGTGGCCCCCCCTCAGGACTCTTCAGGTCCCCTCACTGTGTTCCCCATTCGTCAAAAGTTGTTAACTTTTATTAACTTGTGGAAGGAGCTGCTCTGAAAATTCTGCGCCAAATAGCCACTTTAGTCAACTGGTTGCAATCACACCAGACAGAGAAAGTCCTTACCCGATCCCAGGCTCCAGGTACGTTGGAGGATACATCGGAGTGGGTCTAAGACAGAAGAACAAAAAATTGTAATAAGACGATCATTTCCTCTTTCCACCCAGACAGACCCGACTTTCACATACAAACCTACTGTGGAAAAGTGATCCCTGACTATTGGGCAACCCAGAACAATTCAGGATTACCCCACCCAACCCTGCTGATGGATGCTGGAAGGTTGAACCAAACACCAGATAGATACTTATATCTTTTAAAAACTCAAGCCGCAATGAAAAAGCTACGCTCCCTCAGCTGGAGTCTCCAATCAGAATCCATATAGGGAGGGGGGTATCACATCATGTGGCTTTATAATTGGGTGTTCTAGTGCGGATCTTTCACCAATGGAGAAAGAAGTCTGAAATGTTAAAACCAGCTGATCAGTTTTGGATCGAGTAGTCCATCATCCCAAATGGATCGTGAACATGCTCCCCAGCCTTTACATGATGTGACATATCAGGCCGTCATGATGGAAACATGGAAGCTACCATTGATGAGCTCTCCTTTGGAAAATGCAAGTTGGATGTCGTGTTCCTCCTGTTGCTTCACCGATGTAGTATGCATAAAGAGTTCCGACTGATCGCCAAGGTCTGCGTCCAATGTCAGGAACTTTAAATACTGAAGACCGGAAATAAGCTTAGCATCCGATCAACTAGCACGTTCCACAGGAGGTCAGCAATGGCAGCTCCCATAGACATCTCATGGCAGGGGTACAGACACACTCATACACTACAATGCACAGCAAAAGCCCAAGGAAGATGAAATCTCCCCAGAGAGAGGTCAGTCTCATCTTAGACAGTTGTCCCTATTGGAAGGCTTCCCCTTCATTTTGTTTCTGGTGGCAAAAGAAAATGCTAAAATTTCCCTCACTTTCAGGCCCAGTGAAAATAGTCAGCAGGACACACAGGGAGATCCAGAGTCACCATTCACTTCCTGGACTGAGATTCTGGATCAGACATGACACAATCTTGTAAATCCTGGTGCATGTTCAGTTCTTTGGGTGCATTCACAAACATCAGACCAATCAGCCCCCACTTCAGCCTCTCACCTTGTGACTTGTTACAACCTGCAGACTGATCCTTTTCCCAAAAAAGCTCTAATCATTTAAAAGCCATCCTTGACCTGTAGTTCGGCGACAGGAGTGGGAACTCCAGCCCTCCAGCTGTTGAACTACAAGTCCCATGAGGCATTGCAAGACCGACAGCCACAGACATGACTCCCAGAGGCATGACGGGGTTTGTAATTAAAGCACAGCTGGAGGGCCGGAGTCGCCCACCCCTGGCCTAGGCTGAGATAAGGTCATCAGTCTGCTGCAGGCAGCATTTTCTCAGTCTCTTCTCCCCCAGACTGAAACATTCTAATTTTGAGGTGATTCACAAGGCGAGAGGCTGATCTGTGCCAGACAGTTGTGAATGCAGCCAAGAACCGCACAGGTACCAAGATTTGCAGTAGTACGTCATCTCTGAGCTGGTATCGGAGTCCAAGAAGTAGATGGTGCCCCTGGATGAACGAAGATGGCTCCGTCCTTCTGGAGGGAAAGGCAAAGTGGTAATACCAAGAAGTGTTACACTTACAGGTTAGTTGGTATGCCACATGTAACATGAGACAAAAATATATATATATATATATAAATAATAAATCAATCCAATTCAGCTACAGGATATGTGTGCGCCCAGAGTCACCGTCCTTATAAATAATGAAGGTTTCCAGACTCTCAGCCATTCACCATGCCCAGCCTCCAGAAGCCCAGATGTTAGTTTACCGGGGAAGACTGCATTCAGTGCGCACACAGTAGTTTGCGAATATCTGAGATCCCATTAATCAATGGGCGGCCGACCTCTTCCTGCACAAACCACAAATTATTCTGCCCGTCATCACCTAATGCACTGAGGATTAACATGATGAGAAGGGAAGCAGAGCTGGAGGATGGACACTGCCCATTAATTACAGTGCACAGTGAGGGGGCTGGGCTGTGTGTACACAATTTCAATAGGAGTTCTGTAATCCAGGTCTGGGGAATAGACTGAGAACATTAACTGTGTTAGAGCGGGATCCGCAGGATCTAAATAACTCCAAACCACACATGCCGTGTTAGCGCAGTAATAAAGCCGACATTTGGTCTTGCTTATACTTGAGCTTGCCTGGTTCTTTCATCCCCAACTCATCAACGTGCTAATGACGATTATAAATACATCCGGTTTTCATTACATCTATTATTTTAGACCCGGCGATGTCATCACTGGGTCTCTGTGCAATGCACGCAGATCATGGCTGGTTGGAGGGGCCAGCAGGGTGCTATACATAGCCTACGTACCCCTCTTAGGAACCCTCAGCCCTGATGCAAGCAGTGGGCTGGCTCTTGAAAGGAGTTATGCAAATATCAAAATGCATTGATGAGCAGATGACTGGAGGAGTGGGCATTCCTAGGCAAGTTGCATTTGCATGCCGATGGAACTAAGTCCCACACACACACGTGATGCCGAGCCTCCATAATTGAAATCCAATCAATGCAAGGGCCAGGCCAGTGACAAATGATGCTGAACGTCCTCCAGCCAGGACATTAGGCATTGCTGCAGCTTCTAGTTCACATTGTGAGAAGCTCACAGTGTGCTCTTAAATTTAGAGTAAGCCATTTCAGTCCATTAGTTCCATTTGCTTGCTGATAAAAAGATTAGCAGCAGTGAGCGGTCTTTATTACAGGAGGGGGCGGACACAAGACCAGTCACCCTGCACAGGGAGAGAGAGCAGCAATGAGCTGTCTTTATTACAGAAGGGGGCGGGGACAAGACCAGTCACCCTGCACAGGGAGAGAGAGCAGCAATGAGCAGTCTTTATTACAGGAGGGGGCAGAGACAAGACCAGTCACCCTGCGCAAGGAGAGAGAGCAGCAGTGACCGGTCTTTATTACAGGAAGCGCCAAGTCTGACACTGGATTACTGCACAGACCTGGAATAAATACACAAAGCTCACCAAGATTCAAGAAGAATACACATTCTCTACCTATTTTGTTCAGTTTTTGATCTGTAATATGCTAAATTTAAACGAATGTAGAATTTCAGGGTGAAGGAAGCTCGGTCAGTAGAGAAATGCACCTACCCCACATCTCGATCCAGCATTGTGCCCGGGTGGAAGGGGGGAAAGGCGTTGCCGTTCGGGGGCTCCTTTGGCGAGTACAGCTTGAACGACTTGGAGGAACAGCCTGTGTGAAGAAAAGGAACAGTCGGAGTTAAACAGCGGCATCGGGGAAAGGCAAAAAACAAAAATGTCACATGTAGGCAAGACTGGATAAGGCGCAACTCCACTTTTGTTTCCCCTGCAGGTCATGGATACACATTACATGGGTGTTTCAGTCAGTTTATTCTTGGCTACAATGGCTGTGTACATACTCAGACAGACCATTCAACAGATTGAAAGCCAGTAGGCTATTTTCCATGCAGTTGTGGAGCAGTTTTTTATATCGTTGTTTTTTCCATTTTTTATATAATTTTTTAACAATTAGTA